AGACATTTTAAGTGTTAATTCAGGGAAATAAATAGACAACCAAATATTGTTAGAATTATTTTATGAGTTTTTACACTTTGCCAGGTGCAAATGGTGGTAACATTCCATCAGGACTGTAATACTAAATCTACAAGACAGACATTGTAGGCTTATAAAAAGAAAAGTTATGAGAAAAGGTGGTACATGCTTTCATATCTTTTTCTCATATAGGTAATTAATGGGTAGAACATGTTGTGGAAGGGAAATTACTTGTCATTTCTATAATTTATGAAGGGAAGGATGCAAGGGTTGAATGTCTCCTTTTTAACATGGATGCTTATTTCTTTATTCTTCATGATGTCTCTAAGCGAATAAAAGTTTTTCCAACCACATACTATTCTTTTATTTACTTCTTTGGACATCTGATTACCGAAAGCGATAATTTGTCCTAAATAAACATACTCCTTTACATATTCAAATCTGTATCCATCCCCCTCTATACCAAAACAAAAATGATGGCTACATCATTTTTGTTTTGCTTGTATTAATTTCGAGCTCAGCTTCATTGTTTTTATTACCTAGGATTTGTACCATAACTTTTAAATTCTTGGGATCTTCCTCCAGCAATATTATATCAACAGCAAATCTCAAATGATTTTAAGTGGCTGCCATTGAATTCGAGGCCATATACATCCCAGTCTATTTGCCTAAAGATACTTACTTTCCAGCACAGCCTTAAACAATTTGGGGACAATGGGTATCCTTGTCTGACACCTCTGTTTATTGGACATGAGTCTCCTTTCAATTCCAGTTTTATCCAGTTTTTACTCATGTAGATGTTTTTTTTATGTTAATATTTTGGTTCAGACTATCAAATATGCTTTTGAGTCTGATATTTGTTATATTTTTCCAATATTTGTTTGCTTGGAAACAATCAATTTTACTGCAGTTCTTTCTGAATCCTGTCTGTTCAAAATGTTGATTTTCATCTAAGATATTTGAGATTCTATCATAATTTACTTTTGCAATGACCTTGTAGACATTTGATATAAGGCCAATTGGTCTGTAGTTACCAAATGTCGTCTTTAGCTCCTTTCTTGTGATTAAGAATAATAGTATTTTCTTCCTCGCACAACTTCCTTGTGGAATAGTTTACCACCAGCGATTTTTCCGGACCGATACGACTTAGGGACCTTCAAGAAAAGAGCCTACTCCTTTTTAAAAGGCCGGCAACGCATCTGCAATTCCCCTGGTGTTGCGGTTGTTCATGGGCGGCGGTAGTCACTTACCATCAGGTGAGCCGCATGCTCGTTTGCCACCTCTCGTATAAAAAAAAATGTGATTCTCCCCTTTGTCTTGGGACGACACGTATGTAGTATAACATTGAATATTTTTGTTAGAATTGGGCTTAGTTCTTCATCTGTAACCTCTTAAAAGTTTTTTGGTAAATTGTCTTGGGTACTGGATTTCTTTTAAATTTTTGTGAATTGATGGCTTTCTTTACTTCTTTGTAAGAATTGGTGGGACATGGTCATATCTGTTAGTTGGTATATATGTTTCTTGATCAGCGTTTTTATAAAGACTTCTGAAGTAAACTTGTAGCTAATCTCTGATTTGCAGTCTGTTTTGTCACTTGGTTGGATTGGTTGGTTTTTACTCAAGAAACTCATTCTTTTTCATGTTGTGATTGGAGGATTGTGTCTTCTAATTATTTTTTTCTTCTTACTTTCCTGTCAACACTGTGGTGTATGTTATTGCTTTCTTGTTTTTCTTTTTTGTGAATACCTTTTTAAGTGATAGCGTATCATATGGTGGTTGGTATAAAAGTTTAAGTTTTGTATAATGTGTGTGTCATTGAAGTATGTTAATCTGTTTGTTATAATATAATCAATTTAGTTTTTGTACCTTCCATCTGGAGATATCCAGGTCTATTTATTTTTAGGTTTATTCTTGAAGACTGAGTTGAATATTAGATTGTTTTGCAACAGAAATTCTATTAACTTATGTTCGTTAGTAATTCTCTTTCCATGGTCATAATTTCCCGAAATAAATTCTTCCCCTAAGTCTCCCATAACTATAAGGTAGTTGTGGTATTTCTTTACAATGTCTGATAGATTGTCATGGATTTCATCATTGGTTGCTAGTTTGTTGGTGCACATGTATGATTGTGCATGGTTTCTTGTAGCCAGGTAATTTAATATTAAGTAGACTATGTTTCAGGGATTATTTTATAAAAAAATTGACTCAACTATGACCTGCTTTCTCCTTTTTGAAAAAAAAAAAGATATATAGATAGAAAGTAAAGATGTATAGAATACGAAAATATTGAAGTGCATAATCCATAGTTTTCGAAACATTACAAAATGGAACAAATTTGTGCCAAAAACATTACTAAATGTAGTGACAAATATCAAAGGACAAGATGTTTAATTTCACAAATTTAAACAGGTCAATTTTACACATTAATGTGTTAGAAAGTACCGTGTTAGCCAAATAAAACGTTTTCTAGCCTGCTAGTAGTGGTTGATAAATAAAAAGGAATATCATGTCACTAGGTGTAAATACACAAATAATGTTATAATTTGCCAAAAGTTATTAAGCAAGGTTTAGACGAAGCCAGTAACGCTGGCACCAGTCCTCAGACAAGCCTCCGCTGGCCTCGCCCGTGTTGTTTAGATGAGGCCAAATGGATTCATTTCATTTCTGGATTATTCTTGTGGTGTGCACACGTTTTGTGTTTTGAAAAAAAAAGGACAAATGCGGTTGTGATTGAAAAATAAATTTATAAAGAACATCTTCGCACTATTAAGAGAAGAGTCGATCAATATATTATAGGAAGAAATTGTAAAGAATAAAAGACTTTGGATGAGAAAATGGCTAAGCGATAGATCCGTAACTGGAGCTTCCATTTCCTTTTTGAAGCATTCAATTTCCTTGCCATCGCGTAAAATCTTACAAAAACAAAGCGCGTTAAGAATCTACGGATAAGCTCCAGCGACTGGCACGATGTGTCTACACTACACGCGTCCTCACGCTGGCACGGGGGTTGCGAGGCACGCGGGCGTAGATCACTGGCTTGAAAAATAGGCCGGCGCTCTATTCCCACCAGTGTTAGCAGTCAGCGCTGGCTGGCTTGTCTTGAAAAACTGTTTATACGAGGTCAATAAAAAGCCAGCGCTGGCTGCCAGTGAAATTGGCAGCCAACACTGGCTTTGTCTAAACCTTGCTTTACTTGTTCAATTTTTTTTTAATTAAACTAATAACATTCAATTTTTATTTATTAAAACTTTACATTACATATTGTGTAATGGCATTTTTTTATTATGTAGTTCCATACACACACTGGCCTAAAGTAAAGTTGAATGGGCATCAGCTTACATGGAATATTAAAATAAACCATTTTTTATATAGCACTGTGAGAATATCAGATCATTGAAGTTGATCTGCCAGAATACATTAAATTAATCTGTGATCCATTACTATGAGTCTTTTTAAAATTAAGGCTTCCACTTTAACTCCTCATCCTTAGAGGTCTCCATTCATCATAAAGATGATAATTTTCACTCTCAAATAATTTAAGTGGCATTTAGGCACATATTTTCCCATTGTTACATATAATATATTATGCACTATTTCAGTTGCTTTTCCAACTAAGCAAAATCGTAAAGTAATATCAGTCAAAGCTATCTACAAGAAATATCCAGTATTTACTAGTCTTATGACACAGGACACTAATAAATATAAATGCTTTATTTTTCAGGCATTGTTGGCTTGTTAGTAATACAAATAAACTTAATAAACATGTTAGTATATAGAAGACATAAATAAAAAAAACTTGTATATAACAGATAAAAAATACCCAAACTGAAACAATACTACATATAATACAATTAAACCATTGTCACAGTATTGTATGCAACTGTTTAGTTTACTTGTGGGTTTGATATTGTGAACTCTAATCCATCTAAATCATCAGCCCAAGTGTGATGGTGATCCTTAGACAAGTAGTGGATTTTTTATGGGTTGATGAGATATTATAATAGGCTACATTGGAGTTTTACATTTATTATCTAACAAAAAAAAAAACAGGTAATGAAATTCATGTCAGTCATTATTATTACAAGAAAGCTGATTGAATCAAAGTTTACCAACTATAATCAAGGCATTGTAGCTTCAATCATTACATTTAAATTAAATTGAAGTGTCTGTCTGTAACATTGATATATAACTGGGTTTTATTAAGTTCAGGGGTTACCTGCATGCTATTAAGATATAAACAACATTTTTTTAAAGTTTTTGTTTGCCATCTGTCAGTCAGGGGTAATTTACAGGACGGCTGAACCGATAGTAATGAAATTTATTTTACAAACAGAGAGCAATGCCATGTTATATTTTGTCTGAAAAATTTTAAGATTTTTTTTATGGTAAAAAGAAAACTTGATTAAAATAAGTGCTCTTTCATTATTTTAATTTTAAATCTAAATAAAACCACATAAATAGATCCCATTCAGGCTACGCTAGGGAGGGTCACTAGTCGTAATAATTGATGATAATATAATCAATATGCAAAAGGTATATTCAAGTAAATGACATACATGCAAGCAACTAAAATTATTAAGATACAAAAATGCCCTCAGTCACAATTGGGAGCAAGTCAATGAAAGACTAGTCTGAATTGAGTTGTGACAAAAGTCATCTCGTATATTGTGCTAAAATTGCTGGTTGCAAAGGATTTCAATAGTAACAATATCTATGCCTCCTCCAGACACCCCAGTGCTGGTATCATAGGCTAAACATTGTACTATAATTTCTGGTCCCCTTGCCTTCCTAGTTAAAGAAGCATCCGGCTAGAATGTGTTAAAAAACACAGATACCTTTACTCAGACCTTCCCGAGACGTTGTAAGTGACGAGCACTTGTATGTGCGCCCCAAGTACGAGATTAACATTGACTTGCCATTACCCTTCGTCATCATCGGGCCATATTTGTGAACACTTACTGCGCAAATAGCTAGGTACTTACTCTCTTCATCTACAGAGTCAGCCCAATTGTTTGTCGTGGCTATCGTCGTCGGCTCCGCAATGATGACACCCATGTTGGCTTTGATCCATTTTGCCTTCTTTGATTTCTTGCCTATAAAATGTTATATGAACACGAATCAAATTTAATTAAAAAATATGTCGTCGAGTACATCAGGTAACATGAACGATGACGCATTGCAAGTAATCGACCTAGGACGATTTTGGAAAGCGATCGTGGACACATTGAGAGGGCAATGTCATCTGGTCTGGCCAATTTTAACATTTTAGTGATAATTTATAGATACGTTAAAAAAGAAAATGTTTTTTAATATGGAATATAATGAAATAAACGTTTTGAAATGTGGCCACGCGGTAAATCCAAACGTCTGCAGAGGATAAAAAGATGACACGTTAGCATTATTAGTAAGATAATTAAAGGATTTTGTCTAAACATATATATAAACAGACCATGGTAACATTTGAAGCAGCATGAGAAATTGATAAATAAGCGATATATTTAGCAGAAACTAAAGGTTTTACACATGACAAAATTATTAAAACTAACCTGTAGCGGCCATATTACAAGGCTGGGGCCTGGGTTGCCACTGATTGTAAAAATTACGGTTTTCCAAGAATGTCAGGTTATGTAAAAATAATGAATGAGTGATACCATATTATTAAATTACAATTTTTATTTCAAATAAAAGACAAAGGTAAAAACAAACAATAAAGTTATCGTACCTATTGATTTCCTCGTGTATAAGTAAAAACTTATAAATGAGTTGACGAATACGATAACAAATGAATTCTCAGCTTAGTAAAATATGAAATTTACTAAGCTTAGAATTGAACGATTAGAACAGAGGTTCCCAAACTTTTTTTTTCTCGTGGACCACTTTCAAAGTTTTACTTCAGTTTTAATCAGCATACTTCAGTATGTTTTCGCTACAAGGTGTTGCCGGTGGATGACACAGTGAGTTGCAATTAGTCCTGGTATTACTCTTTTAAGATGGCTTATAAACTCACGACATCGCCCGAACATGGCTGGAGTTCCATCTGCTGCCACCGAAATAATGTTTGTAAATGGAATAGATTTTTCTGTAAAAACATCACTCAGGACATTAAATATCGATTGGCTTTTAGTGTCCGACTTCAAAGTTTTTGCGAATAGCAGCTCTTCATGGATTTCTTCGTCCATAATAAATCGAACATATGCCAATCATAATGCTTCATTACCAGGCAAAGTAGACTCGTCCAATTGAATAGAAAAATGAGTGGTTTGCAGATAATTACAATGGAAGCTTTCTATATCAGAGCTCATTTCATCAATACGTCATTGTACAGTGTTGTTACTTAAAGTAATTCTTTTGAGTACGTTAAATGGAGGTTTATGCAGAACAGTTTTTCAAATCTCTTCAATAACGGGTAAAATTAACTATTCTCCGATGGTGTGCGGTTTCCCGGATTTCGCTATAAGCAACGAAATATTGTAAGATGCCCGCAAGCTATCATCGTTACTTTGAGACATAGAAGCAAACATGCTATTTACGGTAGGTCACTTTTCACATTTTTCCTTCAACGTTTGAAAGTATTTCAGATCTTTACCTATTTTTTCAGGATGACACTTTCTTAGATAGTCTTAGAGCTTCGATGGTTTCATAGAGTCATTGCTCAGAACTTTGTTGCATAAAAGACACATAGGCCATCGTTTGTCTACCATTGATGAAAGAAAACCAAATTTCAAATAATCAACTGTAGGTACTGTCGACATTTCTTCTTAGATTCAGCCATTTTCCGTATCAGTTGCGACCTGTAAAAACTGTTTGTTTTTGAGCCGATTTTACCAGAATATGGCTATTAAAACACAACAGAATAGAATTATTGCAATAAAAAAAAAATGCCCGCGGAAACACCGCTCTTTTAATGAACGCCGTCGTCGCGTAAATAAATATTTTTTAAACAAAAAAGTACCTAAAGTTTAATCTTACCTGGCTTTATATTCTTTGATACTCGTAGAAGTTTTGAATAATCTCTAGTATTTAATTTTTACTACATAACTACCTACTACACTCAAATAGTAAAACAAATATAATATGATTGATAAATGACAATATACAATAAAAATATGTATAACAAATATGCAGATAATTACTTTTTCTGACACTACAAACACTGATATCGATTCACTCACAGTCACACATTTATGTTCTAAATCCCGGAACCCCGAGTAACGTTTTTTTTGCACCCAATGCAAGGTACCCTCCGGAAGCGCGGGATGGAGGTGGTGAATGCTCATAGCACACCACGACTGCCGGCCGCGTGGTTATGTGGGACTCACTTTGAAGAAGTGCCTACCCACTAAAGACCACCTGTGGAACTGTCATTGGCCTGTATGACCTTTCTGCCAAATCGGAAGTCACCCCCTTTAGGAAAAAGGGGGAGCAGGTGGCGAGTATCCGCTGAGAGATACGCCTAAGGCAAATTAAGAATAAGGAGAGAATTCGGCCTGAGCCTCCAGGAAGCAGTCCAGTTCGGCCGAAAGCTTGTTTGACTCGCTTAAAGAGTTTGCACATGGCCTTGAGAAGGCTGATGAGACGGTAACTGGAGGGGAGGTGGTGAGACATTCCTGGCTTGGGGATACCAATGACAATTGCCTCTTTCCACGTGGTGGGAAAGTAACTAAGGTTGAAGCAGGCGTTGAAGATAATAGAGATATCACCTGCTCAGGAAAATGTTTGAGGGCTTGGTTGGAGATGCCATTCGCGCCCGGGCCTTTTTGGGGCTTCTGTCCTTTTGATGATGGATGAGATCTTATCATTGGACAGAGTGACAGGGTTAGAGGCTGTGGGGGGTGAGTTCAGGCGGCGGACCTCATCCTCCACTGTCTGCATGTGGGAGACCCCTCCCAGTGGGTTGTGAGCTAGGAGAGCATTGAGCGGCGATGCTGAAAAGCACTCAGTCTTTTCCTCGTCCTCGAAGGCAATAGTATCGTCGGGAAGGGAGAGAGGGGGACTGTTAGTGATAGCGTCTATGCAGAGGGCTCTCGCCATCTGGTAGTACGCTGTATGAGAGGTGGAGATAATCTCCATGTGATTACTCTTTTCAAGGTCTCGAAGTTCTGAAAGGCGTGATTAGACTTCTCGTTGAAGACGATTGGCCATACGCCTATATTCAGGGGTGGGATAAAGTGCTGCTCTCCGGAAAGCAGCTCTATTGGCTTTCATTAGGTTGCTAATATGTAGGAGAAGGCTATTATTATTAGCAACCGGGACGACCCTTACAATCTTCTTAAAGGAGGATTTTATAAGGGTGGTGAGAGAATCGACCGCGGTGTCGATTTTTTCGGTACTGTCGAAGTCTGACGAGAGGGAGATGGGGGAGTCCTGTGAGTCCATAGCTGTGGCTAAGGACTCCTTGAAGCTCTTCCAGTTGGTGAAGGTTTTCGTGGAGGGGGTTAAGGTAGGTGGCTGATGGCAAAGTATGAGAGAGACAGGGCGGTGGTCGGATCCTAGATCGTCAAGAGTCTCGATTGTCTTGAGGTTGAGGGAAACTCCTTTAACTAGCGCAAAGTCAAAGTCTAGCACGTCGAGAGCGTGGTCGGTGTTGTTGGGATAGTGAGTGACACCGAGGGGACTGTGAACGGTAAGGTCAAGAGACTGCGCAATATCAAGCAGTTTCTTGCCACTATGAGAAGTAGTAAGAGAGGTCCATTCAGTATGCTTGGAGTTAAAATCTCGAAACATAATGACTGAATTGCCTAATGCAAGGATAGCCTTAAAATCTTTTTTGAGGGGGAGGGTTCCACTAGGGATGTAGCAGGAGGCTATTACGATGGACTGATGTTCAGTCAAGGCTAGCCTGCATACCGTGGCTTCCATTTTGGTAAGCGGCGGAGTGGGGATGTGGAAGCAATGTAGTAACTTCTTGTAGTAAAGCGGTCAGGTCTATCGTTACGAAGAAGAGAATACTTTTTGATGGAAATGCCTTTGAGGTCCTAATGTTTAAGTTTGGTCTCCTGGAGGAGGAGGAAGTCGGGGTCGCGATCTCGAAGAAAGAGCTTAAGCTCGGGGAGGTTATTTCGCAAACTGCGATAATTAAAGGAAACAAGTGACAAACCCTTTATTAATATTGTTACGAGCTTGGGTTTCGAGACAATTAAAAACTGCAGAGTGAATTACCAAAATTGATACTTTAACTACAGAGCACTTAACACAACTTAAACCACTTGTACTACTGATCACTTTAGTTCGCAGTTGTATCGCTTCGAAGTATTCGCTTATATCGTCAATTCAATACTGCCTCGGTCGCGGTCTATACCGGCCTTATGTAGGCCCTCAGATAGTTTCCAGAACCTTCTACTGTAGAAACATCTAGAATGTTCGAGTACATATCAGTCCCGATTGACTAGGGATCGATAGTTTATTTTTATTTTTATACGATAGGTTGACAAACGAGCACACAGTCCACCTGATCGTAAATGGTTGCTGTGGCCCATAGACATCTACATTCATCCTCGATTGCGAATCAAAATGCAGATGCGTTGTCACTCTTGAGGACTAAGATAGAATGCCTCTTTTCCAGTAAAAAGGGTCTCTGGTTCTCTACACTCACCATACGTAACACTGCTGTGTTAAGCTGCTATTTTCCGCTGGTATTCTGTGAGAGCGTGATCCTTCCCCGGTCGAGCCGACCCATTCGTGCTACCACTATACTACTAATATAGCAGCAATATGGCTCTACCACGTATAAATAACTAATAAATACTCGATACTAGAGGGCGCTAGTGGTACTAATTGCGGCGCGCAACAATACGACCGAGAGACTTTGGGAGAGCAGAGACATTAATAATTTAAGTTAAATTAAATTAACTTAACTTACAACGAACACAAGAGGTTGTGATGCTCAGATAAGTAGATGGTCCTGAGGGGACTGAGCAGCGGGCTGTTTGCGTGCTAGAATGGCAATCTCCCCAATGCCGATGCTCCGAATTACACTGTATTCAGGTCATCAACCAATGAGGATTGTGCCTGGTGTGGGGCGGAGGATGTTCGCAAGGGGTCTGCCTTTTTGGGGCCCCTTGGAAATACTGGGGGCTGTAAGGTCTGTGAAAAGACCGGAGGGGGCCTAGGAGGGCCATTTAGGGATCTAGGGGGACCCTGAGGGGGCTGGGAAAGCCTTGACGGGGCATTTTAGGATTTTGGGAGAGCCGGGAATGAATTATCATTGACCGGCGGTGGAGACACTCTTTCGAGCTATGGGGTCTAGGCACTTAACGCAACTGGGGGGGGGGGGGGGGCGAGCAATTGTCCGCCGCATGCCCATAGTGTTGGCTGCGGTGGCACTGCGCCGGATGACCACGCCGATGTGGGGGCTCAACCTTAACTCTCGAGATGCCGCACACTGTGCGTACCTGCCGGAAGATGGCTTTGGCCTCCGGCACATTGGTCAGAATGACAAGAGCAAGCGGGAACCTCTTGCCCTTGTTACTGTGCTCAGCCCAACTGGGAATAACATGAAATTGGTTTCATTTCTTAGTTATAATACTTTTAACTTCAACTATTTAATGGCGAAGAAAAACATCGTGAGGAAAA